TTATGCTTTTTGTACATGGTCACTGCTACAAGCTGCCTCACAAACCAGCTAGACAGCACCTCAGACAGCGCTAAGAGGCGTGAGCCAAAGCAGTCAGGGATCATGCCTGCTGTTTAAGCAGCACCGACAATCAGTGAGCCAGCATACAAGGATGCTCCTCGGCTGTGTGTTATTAAGCAGCATATTTTCAGCCAATGCAGCCAGGTTTGTACCTTCACTTGGCTCAGGGATCTCACCCCACCCCTGGAAAAACATCATGCTTAAGAGTCTATGCCTTCTGCTAACTCTTCACATTTGGGTTGTACCTGTCATTACAAAAAGGTACTTCTGTTCAGCTTGCTTCTTCTCCAAGCCTGTTACTTCCTTTCCATGCTTACTTGCAGAGATCAAGGGTGCTACAGAAAATCAGAGCAGACACTACAGACCTATCAGATGGCAGTGATCCCCAGCTGATTACAGTGCAACCCTTTTAGTTCCTTGAGTCATTTTTGCAGAGATTTAGGAAGAAGGGAGTTCCCTGAAGCACAGGATATTGCAATTATCCAGCACAATCAGGCACTGTGATGAGAGGCTCTTTTCTCACCAGACAGGGCTCCTGTGACTTGTTGAGAGGACACTAAGTCTCAGAGCCCTCTGCAAAACCAATAGGGCAGGCAGATCTGCCCACCTGGGCTTGGTTTTCTCTGTCAGGCGTCATGAGCTCTGTGATTAAGTGTCCCTGTGCAGAAGACATATGGGTCACTCCATCAGCCAGGTGTCCTCCCCTGGACCCAGAAGGTCCCTCTCACATGGGAGGAGGTTCATGATTGACCTCATTGCAGTGTAGGGAGCCTCCAGAGCGAGACACCCATAACTCACTCTGCTGCAGATAACGAAACCAGAGTAAAAGGGGAAGAGAGGAGGAGGTACTTTGCTGCTCAGAGGTCCAACTTCTGAACACCACAGGGGGCAGGCACAGTTGAAACGGAGAAATCTGACTGTAAGCCTGAATACCCTGGTTTTCATGGCTTTTTCTGATCTTTAACAGTATTTGATCATACAGAAAGCTATTTCACAGTTTCTCAGTGCCATTACTCCAGTGTGTGTAACCCACGACCATCAGGAGTAATGTATCCCGCTTGCCTGCACAGCGGGATAGCTTGAGAAAGAAAAAGTGAATTTGATTTTTGAGCACTTGGTCCAGGTGCCACAGCTTGCGCTGGCTGTCGCTTCCCTTCCCATACAGGCTTCAGCAAAGGGCTTCTTTCCACAAAGCAACGTCAGCACATCAAGTAAAATGAATAGAAGCGAGGAAAAGAATGCCCCCGGCACTGCAGGGCTTTTAAGGAATAGCTGTACTGCAGCACCTGGAGAAAGCACGATGCCGGGGAAAGCCCCAGGAGAGCAGAGGGAGCAGAACCAAGGCATCACCTTCGGGGAGGACCCAGCACTCTCTCCCTTTCATGCTATTTTTGCTGAGGTTTGTTAAGGCAGGTCAAGTCATGTGTTTCAGTGGCTTTTCTGCAATTTATCAGCTGTTCAGTGGGATAAGAATCCAGAGGGTACTAGTGCAAACTGTAACACTATGCATGCCTTGAGTCTATGCCTAACACACAAGAAACACAGCAGAAGGAAAATTATTGCATCAGAAATCATGACTTGTACCTTCTTGTTTATGCACTTAAGTCTTTATCCATGGCCGTATAGTGGAAATTGAAAGCCTTGTCCTCACGCACCTCTTGTGTGGCACTCAGGCTTCATTCGCACTGGTACCTAGCACTGTGTCGGGACTCAGCCCCACAGGCAGCTCAGCACCACACAGCTGTTTGCTCACTCCCCCCTCAGTGGGAATGAGGGAGAGGATTTGGGGAAAAGTAAACTCATAGTTTGAGATAGGACAGAAAAGGGAAAATAATAATAATGATAAAAGAATACACAGAACAAATGATGCACAACACAATTGCTCACAACAAGCCAACCAATACCCAGCCCACCCCTGAGCAGCAGCTGCCTTTCCAGCCAACAGCCCCTAGTTTTTTTAGTTCAACACAACACCAAAGAGTATGGGCTATCCCTCTGGCCAGCCTGGGCCAGCTGTCCTGGCTGTGTCCCCCCCCAACTCCTGGTGCACACCCAGCCTCCTTGCTGGCAGGCCAGCACAAGCAGAAAACTCCTTGCTTCCATGTAAGCACTTCTCTGCAACAACATCCATGCATTATCAATATTATTTTTCTCCTAAATCCAAAACACAGCATCATACTATCCTCTACAAATAAAACGATCTCAGCCAAAACCAAGAGAGTGTCTACCCTTCAGAAACCTGTATCATGGCACTTACACAGACCACACTCTAGAGAGGCTTCAAAATGTACACACCACCCCACTGCACAAACATCTTGTAGCTACAACATGAGGGTGAATTTTTGGCAAATCCAAAGTCAGGGTTCCCACCAAAGGGCTCTGAGACAAGCCCCAGAAGAGATGTTTCTTTCCAAGCTCTCCAGCTCTGGGGTAATGATCCAGGTCAGCACTTCAGGCTCTCTGCCATGGAGACAGGAGCCCCAGAGCACAAACACTTTTAGTAAAGTGATGCTCTCTTTTACTGCAAATCTTTAGAAGTCTTAATAATGAACCAGAACATTTCATTTGAGCTTAGTACTGTTAGAACTTTGAACTTTTTTGTCCAGCCCTTTTGGGTCACCCACACTGATTGAGTGACTTAGCCTCATATCCCTTCCAAAGGGCATTTAATCCCCTGCAAACACAGGCAGCCAGGTGCTTCAAGCAGTTAGCTGCTAACTCCATTTTATATCTCTGGTTATCCTCCTCTGGTTCTTTCTCCCCAGATTATTCCCTTTGCATTTGCTTTTGTCTGACTAGCTGAAATCTTTTGTTCAGCCCCAAAATTCATAGAATGTCTATTTCACATGGAGAAGAGTGGAAAAAAATCCATTGTTCAATACATCACATCAATTGGGAAAAAACAATTATTCCCACTCTCCTCCAAATAACTTTCTCTATTCTCTCACAGAGAGTTATACTTAGAATCATAGGGATCTTTCTGTCAATATCTCTATTGCAGAGAGCCTGTATAAGAGGAAAATACTCTAAGGCACTAATACAGTAAGGAAGCTACCATGCAAGCTCTGGGCCACAGAGACAGTGCTAAGTATTTGCATTGCCGTTTCAAGAAGATTTTTCACATAATAGACCTTGAAATACACTATTTGCAGATGAAATTGTTTTCCACCATCCTGGGAATAGGGGTCAAGAAAAAAGCTAATGATGGCCTTACAAATTATACACAAAAAATAAACATCCCTCACATGCAAAGCTGCTCTCAAGAGATCATGTCATTAACAGCTGCACAGTCTGAATTCCTCAGTCCTGATTTCCAGGCAGGAACCCAAACAGCCAGCAGTGAGTCACATGGACTTCTCAGACTTTTCTTACCCTCAGTGAATCCCAGCTGCCCAAGTGGGCTACTTGGAAGGCTCCTCACTAAGCTGCTACAACACACTGCCTCTGACACAGCCCGTCCCATTTCACCTTGCTTCTCCTTCCAAGGCCAGGTGAACTGCAAGACCAGTTCAGTCTTACAAAGCTGTGCCTTCAGATTCACCAGAGTAGTAGGAAGGGGTGCCGAGCAGAAACTCCAGGTGTAGTTAATGTGTTGCAAGTGCAGGCACCCAGGAGCTACAGCTGGAGTACAAGCACCAGAGAATCTGGAAGACTTAAAACAGCTCTGCCATGGAAGTGAATCACCAGAAGCACCCTAAGGAAAGGTGCTCAGTAGAAGAGAAGCTTCCTCAATTTAAATTGAAACCCATTAACCTGGAGACCAGAACTACTTACGCCCAATACTTCTGCTTTACCACCAGAAGTCATTCTCCAGTAATCCTACTAACATCTTTTCCTTCAGTTCCGTAAGAGTTAGCAAAAGTGAAACTACAGTTAAGCTATTGTAACGAGGGACTGGAAAAGACAGTCATTCCATTGTGCCACAAGTGCTAATAGCCCATTTGTAGAAAAGGGTGTATTGCTCTGTGGAACAATAAGCTCTGTGGCTTTCTAGCCATTATCAACAACTCAGCTCCTCAGCAAAATAACAACGATCCTATATAGACGCATCCTGCATAGCAGCACAAAAATTAGGCCACAGAGCCTTGTGTCCACCTTTCTTACTCCTCAGTTCCCAGAAGCCACACACAACCAAAGCACACAGAGACCCAATTCCTCCTTCAAGTAGCTTTACACCATTTTTTTCTACCAAGGCAGGCCCAAATCACGCCTCTGAGAAGGAAAGTATCAAGCCTACAACTTTCCTGTCATACAGCAAGGCTTGTTGACTTTCCTCAGATTAGCTCCTTCATGGTTCATCTAAACAAGGGGGAAGCAATTTAGCTGGGTTTCTCATTCACAGCCACCCACCACCAGTGTGGAAACTGGGCAGGCTGAGGAGGAAGAACGCAGTGGGGACTGTCCCAGGACATATTGCTTTGTTGTCCCCTCTGCCTGTCCAGCTGCACGTGCAGAGCAGGCAATGTTGGGGGCAAAAACACTAATCTGACACAACTGGATTTTCTTTTTTTCACCTCCTACCTGCTGTCAAAGGTGAGGATAGCACGGAATATACAAGTGTTTGGTTACTGCTGGTCAGTGCGAAAACTTCTCTCAGAGTCGTCATCCAAAAGAAGACCAGGTGCTGCCATAGTCAGAATGCTGATGTATCAGACCTGAAAACATACATTTAAGGATCCAGGCTCTACAAGGGCTTTCCTTTCACCATCTGCATTTCAAGAATACAGGTCCTAATTCCACACCAGCATTCCAGGAGCAGGCCCCAGCTTCTGCTACTTGTCATTGCAGGTGGTGGCAGTAAATTAGAGTAAGTAGACAGAAAAGTAAGAGCTGAAGGAGGAAAAGGAAGAGGAGGTGGCAGGAGGGGGACAACATTTTCACTTGTGAGAAATGCTCAGTTGCAAGTCTACCAGGTAGATGAACTAAGGGGTACCAGTTACCTTCAACATGGGAGTTCACTTGACACAGTCTTGTGGCCTTTGTTGGCATGGGTTATCTCAGTGACTTCCCATCATTTCCTGGAAGGCAGAATCAGGCCCACAGGCTGCACCTGTCAGTGCTCAAGCCTCATTACACAGAATAGGATCCAAACAGGCATCTCAATTAATCACACTCATGTATTAGTAAGTAATTCATTAATTCGATAAATTGCTCCAGGCCACAGCATAATCAGTCATGTCAGAGATTATAACAAAATCACGAACCAAAGTGTTAAACATGGGCCCATCCTTGCTGATTCATCATCTGTAGTAATCATTCATGGCAGAACAGGTATACTTTATATACTTTAAGACAGGTGGCATAGAAAATTAATCATCTTAATTGTGCAGATTTCCTCTATCAGATCTGCTGATTGAGCAATATAAGATCTAAGCTGCATAAAATTCAGGAGCAGGCCAACTCAGAAAAATAAACATTGTCAAGATCTGCTCACTGATAGCCAGTAAATGCTCTGCTTGATAAATGGGGACTTACCTGCACAGTAACAAGTAATTCCTCATCCTCCAGCACTTGGACACTGGGCTGAGAAGGTGCTGTAGGGACTGAGATCAGCTGCAGCCTGGGAGAACACACTCAGCAAAGTCCTCCATCACCAACAGGCTGTCTAACATATTTTCTTCATTCTCATTTATATTGTCTGTTCCCAAAAAGACCACTATAGCACAAAGGTGACTCCTATCAATAGGTTTCCTTCACTTGGCCCCATCTCCCTAATGATCTCATGGCAAGGAGAAAGCTCTACATCACAGAGCCAATGAATTGAGCTGGAAGGGTCCTCAGCCCCCCAGTGTCCAATTAATCACACCTATCTTGTTACTTACAGGTGCCTGCCTGATTTCTTCTTACAGATCTCCAATAAGATCATCCTTCAGGCAACTTCATCTATGTTTAGAATTTTTTTCTTACTCTTTTCCTACAAATTAAGCTCATTACTTCTTGTTGTGGTTACCATATGCTTGGAAAAGAGACTGCTCCTTTGCTTCCTGCTATAGCCTTTTGTGTGTTTGAAGTTTGCTGCACCCCTCTTCCCTATCCAGTTTCTCTTCTATGCTCACGATTCAAACTGTGTGATATTTTTAGCTGTGTTTCTCTTCCCTATGCAGGAAAAAAGAAAATCAGATAGAACAAGACTTTCTTGTAGATTTATACTCTTGTCATGAAGTTGGTTAAGACAGGTAATTAACTTAAAAGTTAAAACTAGAAGGAAGAGAGAAAGAAAAAGAAAGAAAGCTTTTTTAAAAATTGCCCTGACCACAACAGAATAAAAGTACCCATTGCTATTAACAGACCATTTCATTCTATACCAATGTTAAGTCCAGGAGAGGGAAATTAAGCTACAATGTAAGGAAGAAAACATTACTTGATTTCTCCTTTCTGCAAATGAATTAAGTTATGTGTTACATAACATAGTTACAGAAGGCCAGAAGAGGGTACCTTTGTGAGCAGAAATTGAAAGAGCTAGCTGATAAATGCAAAATTACCTGTACATGTACAGACACAAAAAAGTGCCTCATTGTCTCCACAAAATGTTTTCCCATACTTTGATTGTACTTAACTGAATAGTCTTTAGTAGTCCAAACTTGCAGATGGTATTTAGAGGCTATGTTACTCTCCGTATAGATGTGTGTTACTGTTCCTTTGCTTAATTTTAAGAGCACACATGCCATCTAGTTGGGACAGCACAAGACAGACAAATGAACTGTTCATTGTGATGGGACTCATGGGGTACGTTCAAAGCACAAATCTGTGACTGCAGTTTGCGTCATCTGTTTGTAACAAAGTGCACAACAGTTCTTTATATATCCAAAGCCATTACATTTACAGATTAAATAATTACACCTCTGGTGAGCTAAGTCCCACATGGTTAGGATTAATGTTTAATCGGGTAGTTTACAGCTACAACAACAGGCCTTGCTCTGAGAAGTGTGCCTACATGCTCTACCTGGTCATAAATCAATTCCAGGCTTTTCTGTCCTCTCATTAAAAGGGATGCTTTGAGTTGTCAGAAGCAGCATGGGAGCACCAAAGTCCTAATCCTGGGAAGTGATGCATACTCCCCATGAGCTGCACAGAAACCCCCACTGCTGCTAAAAGCTTTCAGCACGAGAGAAGTTAGCTCTCTGCATGCCTGAGTCCTTCTGCAGAAGATAAGGTCATAAGGACAATTATTATGATGTGTTAGGCTGTGTGTGAGCTCAGAAGATATTAGACATTTTCCTGCCCCTGCCTCCTGTATCACCATTTTCTTCAAACCAAGAGCTAGTACACTAAGGGTAAGATTCATCACACGACGCTGTCTACAAGTCTAGCCTAAACTCAGCAGGTTTTGTCCCTGTGTAGTCAGCTGAGATAGATGGGCACACTCCAGAGGGCATCACTTTCTGTCCTGAAACAGATGATGGAAATACATGAAACAACTCCCCATATGCCTGTTTTACAATACACTTCTAGCTTTGCAGTGGTTTAGATTTAGCAATATGAATTTTCTGTGACAATATATATATATATATTATATATACATGTATATACATTATTTTCCAGGCAAAGACCTCTTTTTATTTGAAGTCTGACAATGCTTTGAGCAGCAGTATGCACCACACATTAGGGTGATCCTATTACCAGGGAAGTCGAGTGTTCACATAATGACGTAGTCCATGAGATGACACTGCTTGGATCATGGATATATCTAGATCACCTTCTGGTTATGGCACAGTTTCAAGTGATGACCAAGTAGACATGAGCTCCCTTTTCTAGGAAAGAAGGTGCATCTCAAGTTTGCCAACAAAACTATGGCTCAGGACTTCTTTACCCTTCGAAAGCTAAGAGATGAGGCTTTAAGATCTTCCAAGACAAAGAAGAAGTTTTGCTACTTCATGCTAGTGCTAGCAAAGTCATTAAGACCCAAGAACTGTTTTCTGTTAAAAATTAGTGCCAGGTCACAAACAGCAGTGCATGACAGTCTAAAAAAAAGGCCAGTTGCAATATCACCGGTCAGTAATGAGTCACATGGACTCCTTTGGGGAACAAATCCAACCAACCTGTCACTGACATTAAATATGCCAAATTTCTGTATATCTTCTGACTTGCCCATCAGGTAGAAAGGGGGGCCAATTCCCTTCTCTTCTCCCTGAGACGTGTCCATGACATGAGTTTCCATTACACCAATGCCAGCACTGAAGGTGTGAATATACTGATACTTACACTGATAAACAGCTGTGTGCTCCTCACATCTTCCATCACTACTAAGTGCTAGGGTTGTCTTTATAGCAAAGCTGCAGATCCTCCTCTGTATTCTCTGTTGTTCCTGCTGCTGCACAATCCACGTTGTCAGCCACAGCTGACTATCCAGGCACACATATCCCAATAATTTACAGCAATATTTCATACATTCACTCTGTAGTAGGGAGAGCAGAACTATCTTTTTGTGAGATATTTCTGTTGACTCTGCAGTCACCCAAGAACAACAAGCAACCATTCCTCATAAATCACCGCACACCAGGCAAGCTAGAAACCCTCATCTCCACTCATGCACTGCCACAGAGGTTACGCGAGTCGAGGAAGACAGACCAAGAACAGGACTGATGAAAAGCTGCTCTGGGTATGGTGAGAAAAGCATGTCTCGCCTTCTTTTTCCCATTCCCAGCATTTTCCTCTGGTGTGGTTATTCAGCGACAGACAGCAGCTGTGGATGCAGACTGCCCTGCTTCAACCAAACTGATAAGCACAGGCTGCTTGCCTTGCTGGCAAAGTTTAGTTTTGGTTTGGTTTGGTTTTGCTTTGTTTTGTTTTGTTTTTTTGTAATACTGATTATTTAGCACTTTTTCTGGACGGCATCTGGCTGACACCTATACACCAAAACAAAACAAAACAAAACAAAAAGAAAAAACAACACTGTTCTTGTAAATTTCAGTGTCACCAAAATGGTGACAAAACACTCAAGACTTGCAGGAAATTCTGCCATCCAAAAAAAGCCATTCTACAAAAAGGTGGTTGATGACTTCTAAGAAAAAAGCTATGATTTTAAGATTCAGGACTGATAATAAATAGTAATCAATATAAATGCAAACTAAATGGTCTCAGTATGTTTATATACAATAATTTTCATTGACAATATTTACCTCTATAAGCATATTGAAATAAAATGTTCCTGTAAGTGATTTTATAATTCTATGGTTACATATATGTGTGTGTGTTTATTATAGCTGAAGAATCTAGTAGTTTTAAATTCAACTGGGGAAAAACAGTCTGGAAGGAGCAGGTAAGTTGCAAATATCTATATTACAATGTAGAGCTTTAAAAAAAAAAATCAGAATTGTTTTCAATGTCTTCAGAAGGAGCCTCCCTGGGTTTAAAGCTATTTGACGTCAATGGGAAGACTCCTCTAAGTAGTCTTTTGGAGGCTCAGAAGCCCTTTGCAATCACCAGAATCAAAGGGAAAGTCTTGCCTTTGGACAGAAGCAGCTTGGCAGAACACAAAAGCTGTGGAGTAAAATCAAAAGCAAGGTGGCCTTTCCTGAACAGCAGGAATTTTCTTCTAACTTGTGCAGCCTTAGACAGGTGAGGAGAGGTGGAGGCCGTGTCCAGCAATGCGTCCCTGGGCTGGATGCAGATGAGCAAAAGCCAGAAGCTGGGGAGGCCCACGGCAGGACTCTCCTGCTGTAAATATGGGTGTTTTGTGCTAACTGTAAATGAAACAAATCTGAGAAACATTCAGCTGAGTGAAACAGTGAAAATTCTCACTAATGGTCCACTGAAATTAAACTGATGGGTTTCACACAGCCCTAGCTAAAGGCTACAGTTGTGTCACTGAAATACAGGGTTTACAAAATAGCAAATTGCTCACCAATCTAGATTGTTTCCTCTCAAATAAACTGCTGCTAGGTAATTAAAAGGATGGAATTAAAAAAAAAATGTATATTAAAAAAAAAAAAAAAACTTTCCTAGTATAATTAGAGTTGCTCAAACTAATGGTCCAAGGAATTCCCAAATACTCAGATGCCCTCTTAATTGCAGCTGAGCAGCTATAATGGCAAAAAACAGTTCCAGCTAACCAAAGGCTGGAGGGTAGACAAGCTGTAAGATTCATTCTTGCTAGAAAACCTGCCAAGGCCAAGCAGTGAGGGTGACAGCTGCATTCAGCACCATTTCCCCAATCTGCAATAAAGTTGACAAATTAAATGACATTTAAAACAAGAAATCTTGCCTGAATATTTGTGCAAAAATATGCCACAATTTACTTCTGGAAGGGAATGTCTTGCTAAGGCTGAAAAAGTGGTTATACCAAGGGACAAAAAGCCCAAATATTTTTAAAGTAAGGGACTGTCTTCCTTGTACATATCCCTTGTCTCATTAAATATGAAGGACGAAGACCACATTCCTAACTTTAAGTAGATGCCTTCAGTAGGGTTCCTTCTGAGTTAGGAATATGTTTAAGCACCTCGGTAAGCACAAGGCTGATTTTTCAAACGACTTCATCACACAAGCAAATGGATATGAAAAGGATTTGGGAAATAAAAGTTCAAAGAAATCCCTGGAGTTTCTAGATTTGGGGGCTAAAGGCTGATTGTCTCCCAGCTCAGGGTTTGAAAGAGGACTCATTTTTCAAAAGGACTTAGAAGCCAGCTCTTTACTGCAATGCTTAAAGCATTATCACAGACATTTCTGACAACGTGGCCATATGGAAGCCAAATTGGTTTGAAAACATGCAGTATCGGTGCACAAGGTTTGGCTAATAGCTTTAGGTAACCAAATATTTTTCTCATAATATTCATATGTTCTTATGTTTAAACTATATTAAAAAAATATGATGTGTCCACTTTCCAACTGGTACATAAGAGCTAAAAATAGCACATGGCCAGGTAGACAGGTCAAATGCTTCAGGGATGGCCACTGTAGATTGTTATTCTTTAAATTGA